CCTCCATCTCCCCGCGCCTGGCCCTCCTCCTCCTCCTCCCCCGAAGCGCGCAGGAGCCATTCATTCTCGGCGCTGCCTTTGCACTCAGACGCACGGAGGACGCGCCCAGGGGCAGGCAGAGCGCGCGTGGGCTTCTCCCGGTTCCTGCGGTGAGTGGGGCACACAGCTTTCTGAGGGGGGGGGGGGGGGGGGGCAAGGGGAACCAAGCATAGGGCACACGGGGAGCAGGCCACGGAGGCAGCAAAGATTCTCAACAATATGAAATGGGGAAAGGGTCTTTCTGCGATGGAGAGAGAGCTGCATATCAACAACAATTATAATCATAGTGCTGTCATCCCTTTTGTATCACAAAAGCCTTGCTTAATAGAACAGTGATTAGTTGCTGCGACAACATAGCAGAGGTGGAGGGAGGGAGTGGGGATCGAAGAGCCAGGATTTGGATATCTGTGTGATGGAGAGAGGGCGTCCCCATGGCTCATCATCATAATGATGATGGTGGTGTTTTTTAATGGGAAGCGTCTTCTATCAGCACAGCGACGTTTTCTGCGACAAGCACCCCGCACGAACAAAGTGGGGGAGGCGTTGAGAGGCAGGCCAGGTACAAAAGGCCAAGGGAGGGGCCTCTCGCCACGGTTTATTTTTAGCCCCTCTTTTTACCCTTTTTCACAGTGACGTCAGGGCTGCCCTTCACACCTTGTCGCCATATGGCGAGAGTGGGGAGAAGGGATGTGTATTACCCAGGAGGGACGCTCCTGTGGGCTCCTCAAGGCCCAAAAACACCAGATCTGGTCTCATCTTGGAAGCTAAAACTCTCCAGTCCTGATTGGTACTTGGATGGGAGACTGCCAATGAATACCTGGCGCTGTAGATCATGTTTAAGAGGAAAGAACTGTCAAAACCAACTCTTGAGTATGCCTTGCCTAAGAAAATCATATGACCTTCATGGCGTAGTCACAAATCAATAAATGGCAAAATGTATGCTATTGTCAATCTTAAATGAACATTCTCCGTCATTCATTCTTATGCACCTGATATAAAGGTAATGCATATAAAGTACACTCTCAGGCCTCTTCTACATTGCCAAATAAAATCCAGATTATGTTTGAACTGGATTATAAGGCAGTGTAGACTCATTTAATCCAGTGCAACGCAGATAATGTGGATTACTTGCTTTGGAAATCGGAATTATATGTTAGTGTAGACTCATTTAATCCAGTTCAAAGCAGATAATGTGGATTATTTGCTTTGGAAATCAGAATTATATATCAGTGTAGACTCATCTAGTCCAGTTCAAAGCAGATAATGTGGATTATTTGCTTTGGAAATTGGAATTGCATAGTAGTGTAGACTCATCTAATCCAGTTCAAAGCAGATAATTTGGATTATTTGCTTTGGAAATCTGAATTATATGACAGTGTAGACTCATATAATCCAGATAAAAATGGATAATGTGGATTATTTGCTTTGAAAATCTGGATTATATGGCAGTGTAGAAGGGGCCTCAGTTAACCAGGACTCAAGCAACAAGAACTTTCGAATAATGAGAGTGGGGAATAAAATAAATAATACTGTCCTTTAAATAAAAAACACTACTATTATAAAACAGTAAAACAGTGTTGTATTAAGTTTGTCTTTATTTGCTTGTTCTATATTTCAATATTAATATTAAGTCAATACAGAGTTTATGATATAGTATGGGGTGGAGCTCCCAGTGGCGCAGTGGGTTAAACTGTTGAGCTGCTGAATTTGCTGACACGAAGATCAGAGGTTTGAATTTGGGGAGCGGGGTGAGCTCTTATTGCTAGCCCCAGCTTCTGCCAACCTAGCAGTTTGAAAACATGCAAATGTGAGTAGATCAATAGGTGCCGCTTCGGCAGGAAGGTAACAGCACTCTATGCAGTCATGCCAGTCACATGACCTTGAAGGCTCTACAGACAATGCCAGTTCTTCGGCTTGGAAATGGAGATGAGCACCACCTCCCAGAGTCAGACACGACGAGATTTAACCTTTGCTTCAACTTTTTATAGTATGGGGATAGGCCTATTTTTAATAGTAACTTTCAGGCAACCAGAAGCAACTTTTATCTGGCATCTACCGATCCCTATGGGTGCTGGTTACCTGTACTGTCTTTAGTAAATATATGTAGGTACTGAACTACCTGTAATTCACTGTGAGGAAATTCATCTAAATCAGTGTAAATCACTTGGGTTAATGAGATAAGAGTCTTCATGGAATCACAAAGCTGGAAGAGACCACATGGACCATCTAGTCCAACCCCCTGCCATGCAGGAAAAGCACAATGAAAGCATTTCCAACAGATGGCCAGGCTGTGTTTAAAAGGCAGTGAATTGCACTGTTGAACAGCTCTTGCAGTCAGGAAATTCATTCTAATGTTCAGGTGGAATCTCCTTTCCTGTAATTTGAACCCATTGCTCCAAGTCATAGTCTCCAGAGCAGCCTGCTCCCTCTTCCTTATGAAATCCTTTCAGATATTTAATCCTTTCAAATGTTATGTCTCCTTTCAACCTTCTCTCCTGCAGACTATACAGATCCAGTTCTTTAAGACACTCATAGGGCATGGCCTCCAGACCATTGATCGTTTTAGTCACCCTTCTCTAGACATCTTCCAGCTTGTCAATATCCCTCTTAAATTGTAGTGTCCAAAATTGGACACAGTATTCCAGGTGAGGTCTGACCAAAGCAGAATACAGAGGCACCATGACTTCCCTTGATCTAGACCAGTGGTTCCCAACCTGTGGTCTGTGGACCACCAGTGGGCCACAAGAATGAAAATATGGTCTGCGGCCTCACCATTACTACACTGTTGCCTCAAAATCATGTGGCAACGAGAGCGACTGGTCTCAGAAAACCTTCTTATAGTGCCAAGGCAACAGGGATGTCAGGAGAGGAGAGGCTGACTACCCACAAAAGATTACTACTACCACATCAGCGCTAGATTATTAAATATAGTTTTTTCTGGGTGAACAGATGGTGACTGGTAAAGGTAAAGGTTTCCCCCTGACATTAAGTCCAGTCGTGTCTGACTCTGGGAGCTGGTGCTCATCTCCATTTTTAAGCCAAAGAGCTGGCGTTGTCCGTAGACACCTCAAAGTCATATGGCCGGCATGACTGTATGGAGCGGTGTTACCTTCCCACTGGAGCGGTACCTATTGATCTACCCACATTGAGCTATTCACATAGATCACCATCTACTGTATGGCATATATTCTGTATCAGAAAATAGAGTTGAAGTGGTCTAGCCAATGCAGTTTTCTGAATCAGCACCTCAAATAACTTAACCAAATATAAAATTGACCAAAAACCAATTCATAACCCTTTTGGTACTAATGTTGGAGAGTGATCCCTGGTCAAAGTGGTCCCTGTCAAAAAGGCTTGGGAACCACTGATCTAGACACTATGCTCCTTTTGATGCAGCCCAAAATCCCATTGGCTTTTAAAGCTGCTGCATCACATTGTTGACTCATGTTCAGCTTGTTGTCCACTAAGACCCCCTGGATTCTTGTCAAGTCAGGCATCACCCATCCTGTATCTTTCATTTTTTCTGCCTAAATGAAGTATCCTACACTTCTTGCTGAAATTATTTTTGTTAGTTTTGGCCCAGCTCTCTAATCTGTTAAAGTTGTTTTGGATTCTGATACTGTCTTATATTCTCTGTGTGTATTTGCCTTCAAGTTGCCTGTTGCTTATGGAAACTCCATGAATCCCATACAGTTTTATTGGACACAGCACCTGGTATTTATTGTCAGCCTCCCATCAATGTAATAACCAGGGATGACCTTGCTTAGCTTCCAAGAGCAGATGGGATCTGGTGCTTTTAGGTTATTTATTTGGATACCTTCCTAGGCACTATCAGACTAGCATCTCAGTAGACATGATTGGATTTTGTTGTACACATCAAACTAAATAAACAAAACATCTAGGATTTACAGGGAACATTTTACAGTCATTACCATTTTCTGTGATTAGAGGAATAGCAATTCTCTGTATGTTGCCTGTTTAAGCTCTTCAACATTTGGAGAATCCTATTACAGGGAAATAAACAAAACCTTTCCACTCACTGATTAGATGAGGTTGGGGAGCAGGTGCGAATATTTGTCATATGAGCTGAAAGATGACACGTTGCTAGTCTCTTGAAAAAAAAGAAAAGGCATACATACATCTGTGTTGAAAATGGTCAGTTTTCTAATGAAGACTTTCTAAATCATATCTGTGGCTGGATGCTAATCAAGGTAAGAGAAAACATGATATATTTTCTTACTATACATGAATGCAGGGAAACAGGTGGATATTATAGTCAGACATACAAATCTGTATGCATTTGCTTACTTTTTCCTACAATGGTATTTATTATTATTATTATTATTATTATTATTATTATTATTATTATTGTACATCATTTAATTTTTAATATTTCCATTGAACTTTCCAGCTGTATTTATTACAACAGCATTGTAAGGTGGCCAGAGTGTACTAAGATAGATATTTTCTCTCTGAGTCCTGTTACAGTCCATCCTCCATATCCATAGATTCTGTATCCACAGATTCAACCATCCATGGCTTTTGGAAAATATTCCATTTATTTTCCCCAAAACAAGCCTTGATCTTTGACATTTTATATAAAAATAGCCTTTTTATATGTCATTGTTTATAGTGGGATCCATGGATTTTGTATTATCGAAGGCTTTCATGGTTAGAATCACTGGGTTCTGACCTCACAACCTCTGAGGATGCTTGTCATAAATGCAGGTGAAACATCAGGAGAGAATGCTTCTATAACATGGCCATATAGCCCGAAAAACCTACAACAATCGATAGATTTTGTTACCTACAGCGGATTTTGGAACCAAACCTCTGTGGTTATGAGGGACCCATTGTGCTGTCTAGTTTAGAGAGCAAATTAAAGGAAGAAAGCAGGTGGTATTTCATATCCTGATTCATTTATTATTGTGTTTTACATCGTAACAGGTGGCAAGATACAGACTGACAGCACCATGACCTCAACATTTATTTGCAGTGTGTTACTTCTGGTGGCCTTCAGGTTAGCTTTAACGTTTAGCCACAGTCCCAGGAGTCCAGACCGAGTTTCTGAAGCTGATATTCAAAGACTTCTGCATGGCGTAATGGAGCAACTTGGCATTGCCAGACCCAGAGTTGAATATCCAGCACACCAAGCTATGAATCTAGTAGGTCCACAGAACATTGAAGGTGACTATTACTTTGAATTATTATTACCATCACTGATATTAGAATTCAATGTGTAGCAGTATTTTGTTTTATTAAAATGTTCACAGTATTTTGTTTAGTGATGCTGTGGAAAAGTTGTTTGTTCATCATATGTCTGACCTATCTAGTAAGATTCGAACATATGATTCTATATTAAGAAACGCCACCAGTGCCCATGCAAAAAACTCAAGATTCAAAACACTGACCTATGACTTTTTGGAAAAGTAAGTGACTCCAGGTCTTCGTTGTGGGTGCAGCTTCTCTCCCAAAAGGGCTGTGTTCAGTTCCCTCAAAGTCCCCCCAAGGAGGATGGCAAGGCCCAGAGTCGAGGGAGAAGCCCCGCTCTTTCCCTAAAGAGGGTGGCAAGAGGAGCCTGGGGTGAGAGGCAGGGAGGGATGCGTGGCTGAATGGCTGGGCAAGGAGCCCCCCCCCCTTGCACATGGCCAGCACACAGAGAGAGACAGGCAGAGACTACACTAATCACACTGAGGCTTTAACACGGGCAGTCCTAGGTATTCTGAAGCAAGCAGAATTCTGAGAAATGTAGTTTAGAGAAGGGCCTTTTGAATTCTCTGGCACAGAGGTCCTTGCTTTCCCAAACTACATTTCCCAGAGTTCTACCCTGAAAGTTTTGGTGTTCATTCTCTAAAGGGATTTTGAGATAAAACTCTACCTAGTAGGCTTCCTATTATTATTATTATTATTATTATTATTATTATTAATTCAAAGGCTGGATGGGCATCTATTAGGGGTGCTTTGACTATGCTTTTCCTGCCTGGCAGAAGGGGGTTGGATTGGATGGCCTCTGGGGTCTTCCAATGAAGTAGTACTGTTAAGTTTATGTTGGTTAAAATTCCTTAACAATCAGTGGATTTGCAAATCTTTCTGAAACTTGGGGGGAATGATGCCCTAGTTATGTTGTATCATTGAAAATAGAAATTCAAGGAGCTAGCTCTTGTAGATTTTTAAAAAATGTTGTTCATAAAAATTTGAAAAAAATCCCAAAAATCAGTGAAGGAGTCAAGTGTTCTGAAAGTGGGGGGGGGGGGAGTGGTAAATGTGTTCCACTATTGTAGCAAGTTTCATCCCAATAGTGCTAAAAATGAGGGAGAAATAATTCCCAGAAGCTTTCCCATTTCTGCAATTAGAAAATGAAAAAGTACCAAAATTTTTGTTATATTGTTATAATTATGGTATGGATCCCTTACGATATTTTAGAAACACTTTGTAAATGATCCCCCCACCCACCACCCGCCCAATTTAGTAATGAGTATTGAAACTTTTTTAAATTGATCGCACAGGCCTACTTCATAGTTATGCATTAATGTCAAAGACTGCAAATCTGTTATATAATTTATTTTGCAAGTTACATTTTACTTGGTATGCAAGGAGTCTAGAGACTTCAGCATATTGAATGGACAGAAAGCTGTAGCGTTTTAACTAGTTCTTGGATGCTATCTCAAAGGTAAAAATTAAATATGGATGCTGCAAAACAATGCAGATTTACCTGGGATGTATTCCCTTTAAACTCAGTGTAGCTTATATCTGAGTTCCTTTGAGTAAATATATGTTTAGAAACACACTGCAGTTTATACTGTTTTCCCTTTCTAGTCTAATGTCCATACTAACACTGCTTCCATCTTGTGGAGACAGGTGGAAATTCTTCCTGGTACCACTTCGCCATAGATTAAACCTGCATGAAACATGGGTTGTAAATTATAAAGAGAAACTTTATTGTATTGTATTGTATAGCAGTGCAGACTCATATAATCATTTAAAGTAGATAATCTGCATTCAGAAACTGGATTATATGTGTAGAAAATATAATAATAATAATAAAAACTTTATTTATATACCACTCTATCTCCCCGAGAGGGACTCAGAGCGGTTTCCAAGCAACATCACCAAAACATACAGAGTAAACAGCAGAACATAAAATTAACAAAACAACATAATCATAAAATTATCACAATAACACACACATATATAATATAATCCTGCCTGTTCAAAGCAATTAAAACACTGGGCCGAGGCTAGTGCAGACTCAAAATATGAGGGGACTGGTATTTAAGTACAGTGCTATGATAGGCTAACAGCAATAGCAGGTATGGGTCTGTGGCTGCTCATTTTCAGGGCCTATTAGAGGGATGACCAGGGTAACAGGTAGGAAGGATAAGGCCATACTCAACAATGTTTAGGGCCGGAACTAGAACTGGTTATTCTCAAAGGCTTGTTGAAACCACCAGGTCTTCAAGCTCTTACAAAAGGAGGGGAGGGATGGGGCCTTATAGTCTCTGTACTGCTCATCCAACTCCTCCATTGGCAACATAACTGTGACACATCTACACTGCCATATAATGCAGTTTGAAACTGCATTGACCCGTATTATGTGGGTCTACACTGACCATGTTTACATTATACGTAGTGTAGATCCGACCAGTGTTTCTTGAGTACCCTTTTTGATGAATTTTTAGACATATACATGATTATATACAGGAGGTATTTGTTTCATAAATCTACAAACCCAAAGAGTATTTCTGACTGAATCTCATGAAGGTTAAGCATGAAAAGATTAAACAATGCAATATTGGATTGAAGTACAGTCAGCCTTCCATATCCACAGTGTCTGCACCATGGATTCAACCATCAATGGCTTGAAAATATTCAAAGAAATGTTCAAAATACACACTTCAATTTTGTTATTTTATGAACGGAGCAACATTTTAAAACACCATTGTACATAATAGGACACGAGCAGCCAAAATTTAGGTATCCGCAGGGGATCCTGGAACCGAACCCCAGCAGATACCAAGGCCCCACTATATACTTTCCAAAGTCATGCTATAGCAAATTGTGGAAGCCTTCACAAGAGAATTTCATCTTTTGAAAATAGGAAATGTACCTCTCTTAAAGAAAAAAATTCACAGAGCCTTCTCTGAGGCCCTGAACACTTGGCACAACTTGATATGAAAGGTATTCCTTTATATTTTGGGGTCCCATGCCATTTAGGACTTTAAACACCCTGTGATTGGGGGTAATTATGCAATAAATTATTCAGTGCTTTGCACTTGAATAGCTTTTCATTAAAATATAAACTTATTTGGAAGAATCATAAAAATCCTTGGTACAGTGTTTTAAGTGTTGAATTTATTGCTGTTCCTCAGATTTATTGCTAATTGTTAATATTTTAACGAAGAAATGAAAGTGATAGATGTGGATAACACAATTTTTTACCTATACAAGAATACTCTAAGGTGGGTTGGAATCACCACACTGGCTCTCTAGTTAATACTTAGGCCCCTTCCACACTGCCCCTATATCCCAGGATAAAATGGGGTCAGATCCTGGGATATAGGGCAGTGTAGAAGGGCCCCTAGATGCTGAACTGCACCTAAGCATATTCATCAGAGTCGGACAGGACAGGTAGAAACTCTCTTTTTAAAATGCTTTGCTATTCCTTGCTGAAACATTAGGTGGCTGCTGAGGTCTGAATGTTGAGTTCTTGAAATCCACTGATTTATTTATACATTTAAGTCAGCAGATGGTGCTCTGTTTGTGAAGCAGACTCTAAATGTATTCTGTAAGCATGGAATAGAATAATGTGGATGTATTGTTGTTGTGTTTAGGCATTGAATGGTTTGCCTTTTATTTTTGGAATCCACCCTGAGTCCCTCCGGGGAGGCAGGGCGGAATATAAATAAATAATTATTATTACTATGTTCAAGATGTTGGTGTTACAAATCAAAGTCTTGTATTAGCAAGATTTTTTTTTGGCAGCTAACTGGGTTTTCATTGAAGATTTCTTACCATTCTTTAATAGAAAAAAAAAAACCCATTAAGTACAGGTTGAATATCTCATATCCAGAATTCTGAAATCCAAAATACTCCAGTATCTAAAGTGGTCTACATGGGTGCCTGAAACAGTGACATCATTACTTTCTGATGGTTCAACACATTTCTTTCACATAACCAAATAATTATAAATGTTGTCTATAAAATCACCTGTAGGCTATGTGTATAACATGTATGAAACTAGGTATATATATATTTACAGTATAGGGATACACGTTCTCAGAAATAAGTGTTATTGAATTCAATGGTATTCAGTCCTGGGCAAGGCTGTATAGATTTGGAATTGTCATATAATATCCTAGACCAAAATGAGAATGCAAAATATGTAGTTTGCTGGGTTTCATCTCCCATCTACCAATTCTTTTACAGAACCTTCATTCTTTTTTCTAGCACAGCACCACAGCTTTCAGAGTAGAGCTTTAAGAATTTGATCCTATCTTCAGATGATTACTAGTAGCCCGAAGCCATAACAGAGGAGACTGGAGTTTTTCTATCATTTAATTTCAAGTATTATGAGCAATTTCTACCAATTTTACCATCCCAAAATACAGAGTACCATACACTATCGGCTCCTTCTTTGGTATTAATTAATCGAGTAGTAATTATTTATCCATATTGAGGGAAATGGCTATTTATAAATATGAGCACATGCCATTTCATTTGGTATGTTTCAGCCCTTTAATTTGTTTCTTGGAGCAAGCAGACTCAACATTTATTAATATGAAAAATTTGAGTAACCTCTGCTTGTTTCAGGGAGATGAGACAGTGATATGCTACATTGGTCATAAAAATTCATTTCAGCGCTACAGCCTTTGGTTTTGAGAGTTTATAGTAATATTATATAGGCCCAATCTCCACACAAAACTAAAATGACACCAACAAATTGTCATACAGATTCTTAAAAACTGAATTCCAACCACACAAAAAGGCTCATCCTAGTCACCAGTATAGGTTTGTTTTTCGAAGGCCGCTTTTCTTTAATTGCTTTGTCCAAGGATCACATAATAATTTTTAAGCTCTTTTTTCTGAGTGAGCTCCATGGTCTGAAAGCTTGCTGGGAAGAATACTTTCTTGTAATTTAGTCTACTTTGGATGGAATGGCTTGAATATTAGATTTGCTTTAAAATAAC